GGAGACCGTGGGTGTTACTGTGGCGGCAGACTGGAAAAAGCTGGAGTTACTGTCGTATGGATGTGTAGGGGACAGAAGAGGTGTCCTTATGCAGTTTGTTTCATTCGTTCTGGTTGTAGACCAGCTTTTCTGATCTTTGTTTGTTTGTTTGTTGTTCTGGACTGAGATGCGGAAATGGACAATTTTTGGTTCATTTGTTTGGTTTTGTTTGTGAGGAATCTATGAGAAACTTGAAAATTATGAAGAAGTTGGTACCCAACTGGATATTCTAGATTACAGTGAACACTAGATATTCAAGTACTTATAATTTTTTCTTCTTTCCGTTAGCAGGTAAACCTTAATTATTTAGCACTGAGAACTATTTGTGAAGTACAGAAACTGTTTCAAAGCTTTTTCTTGTTTTTCGATGTTGTTGTCTTAGAAATGATATTTGCTGTTTATTTCCATGTAAAGGACTCTGAGTTACTGCACTGAATCAGAATATTTGACAAATTTAACATACCAAATGTCAAAATGTACCCTATAAAACTGGCAGACTGCAACACAAGATGTAGCCTTATTGTCTGTGGGAAGTCAGATTCGCAGGCAGCCGCTCTGTTTCCCCCTTGAGACTCAGCCTTTATTTGGTCTCCCCTGCTTGATGACAGCATGGAATGGTATATGGCAGTGGGAGAGAGGTGAAAGGACTCACATGGGAAAGCTTACTGTTACAGCCTCATTTCTCTCCAGCTGCTCTGTTGGTCTCTGCAAGGATACTCCCTGTTTTGTAGCTTGAAAGGAGGAAGGTTTCCTGCTCATCGTAAAGCAATGGACAGAATTTTTAAACTTGTGTCTGAGATTAAGGACTGCGGGAGGCCCTCCTTTTGCTTTGAAGGCTCATATGCTTTCAGGAGGCCATTTGTTCCTCATGCAGGTGGTAAAATTAAGAAATCATTCAGAGACTGGTAAGTTCTAGTAGTACAGGTGGACTCCCATACTTTTTTGGAGTGGGAAATAGCTCCTCAGTGTCTCACCTCTCCCTGTTTGGTTTGTGCTGTGGAGGGAGGAAGCAAACCTGTCCTCCATCTCTGTGCGTTTTAGCTGCCGTCTGTCCTTGAAGGTGTTTCTTTTTCTGTGTGTGAAGAAGCTGCAGCAAATGTTTCAGAAGTGGAGTAGCTTCTATTCAGTTCTTTTCATCACTTTCTTTAAAGATAGATTGTGTCTTTGAGGCAGATGGATTAGGGAAGCAGCAGTGATGTATCCAGACTTCTCAGTCTGCATTTATTTATTGTGTCAAGGATGCCAGTTTTCCCTTCCTTCCATGCAGTGCTTGCAGAATGACAGAGAATTTGGGATGACTGTGAGTAAATCCTTACCTTCAGTTACTTCTGTTTTGGTGATTAATTTCCTTTGACATTTAAATATATCTCACTGTTGCCTGCTTTGTGATTTAAAAACCTGGCTGTTCTCGATTTTGTTTAATTGCAAACAAATTATTTCTCTTTTCTTTTAGGTATGGTGGTGCCTTAAGAGCTTCAGGAGAAATGGCCTCGGCTCAATACATTACGGCAGGTTGGTGTTTAGAGTAGAACACAGGTTTAGGCTAGTGTGTGATTTCCTGCTAGCTGCAGATGAAAACTGCAGTTAGGGCTCTGCCTATTTTTTGTTAACACATGTGCCGTAGGAATTTCAGATCTGCTAGCACTGAAGGTTTCATTTTGCTCTGTTAATATGTTTATTCTGAGCATTAATATCATTATTCTGACCGTGGCTGCAAAGCATATGTTTCTGCATATTACCTACCTGCATGCTAGGAAAAGTATATTCAGGTGTGATCTAGGTTTAGATAGAAATCATTTGTATGACTTCATGTTTTGCGTGTAGGCATAAAGCAATTGGAACTTCCTAAAGCAGACTTCATAGATCCATTGAGTTCATCATTTTGAGTAGAAATATTTTAGTGAACATTTCTTTGTTTTGCTTAATGGTAGGCTAACACCATACTCCTAAAATACACATTTCATTGATATTTTTAATATGATTTATTGGCTGAGCATTGTTGTTAAGGTGGTAGCTGATGCTTTATCAGTGGCCTTACCCTTTGCCCTAAAGATCAGATTTCGTAACTGAAATAGCAAGTAGTGTCTTCAAAAGGAAAGTTGCTCTTTATTGTGGTGATCTGGGTGCTCACAATGTGGGAGCTCACGATGGCCCCGTATCTCCACGTTCTAACTGGAGCTCTAGTTAGACCCCTTACACTTGAACCAGGGTACTACTTGTCCACTTTTTCTTTTTTTTACTCTATTTCATTGCCCCACTAAGATGCTGGGCCAGGACACTGGAATTTCTACCAGTCCATTTAAGGAAAAACAAAACAATATAAGGAAGGAAAGGTCCAGTTTGTGGGTATGCCTGCTGATCGAATTTTGGGGTGGTAAGTTCAATGGTTACTCTGTACAACCATGCCTGCCCCTCCCTTTTACACTGCCTTTACTTCGTGTCCCTTGTTTTCTTTTTAAGGTGGCAGCTCTGCTTTTTAGGAGTCTTAGTAGTTTAAAGATCTGAGGAATTCTTAGATAATTCTCTGGTGCTGAGCTGGTCAAGAACTCCTGCGTGACACTTACGGCATTTTTTTAAATTGCTGTGTCATATCAGTTGTCCCTTTTATCAAGGTCAGTGAAGGTATTTCTTAAAGAGAGGAAGCAACTGAGTTGGTTCCTTGTAATCTTGCCTGTATTCACTTATTCAACAGTACCATTCGCTAGTCTCTCCACTTGTAAATTCGTGACCGTGCAGAGTGTTCCCTACCTCACAGGGCTGTTGTGAGGATTAACAGGTGTTGCTGAAGCAGTTTGTGGATTTATAATGCTGTAACCTGGGTAGGTAAGAGATGAGTAGCAGTGTCTGGAGCAAAACAAGAAAGCCATGGATATTTTCATGCAATCAGTAGCATTCATTGAATTGCACATAGTTAATGAACTGTCTGCACGTATGAATACACATACTTGTTTTCCTGGATGTAAAATTAAGCATGAGTATTTTCTAGATATTTTAGTTGGGAAAAATGAAAACTTTTCTCAGTAGTTGGTGAAACTTAGGCTACTCTAGCGGATAGATTGTAAATGCCTTTGGTTTTTCTAGGTGTAGTCCTCTTGTCAAAATGCTGCTCAGATGCGTTTCAAATGAAATCTTTACTCCAATTTTTTCGTGTTTTTTTTTAATTATTTTATTTGTTGTTAGCAGCCAGGAAAGACAAGGCACTATGTGCCAGAGTCTCAGAATTGTCATGTTTATGCCTGCAAAGTCACGTTCACAACTGAGATCTTAGGTGCACCTGCTATGCCACCTGGAAAATTCAGCCCTGCTTTGGAAAGATCAAATTTGATACTGTTGAATGATCAGTCTTTAAACGTTGCTGCTGTTTTACTGTTATTGTTAAACTTCCTGCCATGTTTGAATTGTTTTTCCACTTCTCAAAACGTTCACTTTTTCTTCAAGCTCTTAGAGACTTGTTTGATTCCATGGATAAAACTTCCTCCAGTATCCCACCTATCATTCTCCTGCAGTTTTTACATATGGCCTTCCCACAGTTTGCAGAGAAAGGCGATCAAGGCCAGTACCTTCAACAGGTAAAGACTGATTATTGGCTTATTGTTCAAAACTTGCATAGTATGTTAGAAGTTGAGGACAAGAATAGTTTCAAACTTGCCTTCTCCCGTGTAAAATAATTTATCTCAGTAAACCGTTTGTTTTTGTATCATGTGGAAAAGTTGAATGTTATGTCAAATGCTAGCTCTGAAAACATATGGTGGAGTAGAGAGAAATTCTTAAAGAATCCTTACATTCGGATTTCTAGTGTCAAGACTGGGTTTAGTATTACTAAATCATAACACTACTGGTCAGATTTAATGTTCTGTTCCCTTCCTAGGATGCCAACGAGTGCTGGGGACATATGATGAGGGTACTACAGCAGAAGCTGGAAGGCATAGAAGGTGATACAGTTATGGAGGTAATTGTGGTCTTACTCTAACCAGAGTTAGGGTTTATAATATTGTACTTGTGATTCACATGGTTCTTGCTAAGGTTTGTGAGCTAACGTGTCTGTAGTCCAGGAAGTGGAGTTGCTTTCTGATATTTCTGATCAGCACAGTGCTACCTGTGTCATGTCAGCTAATCTATGGAGCATGCTATAGGACTGCTTTCCCTCTGGGCTTTGTAAGGCCTGTGTTGGACCAGGGTGGTGGGGACTGTGAGTGTGCAGCAGCTGTCCTGGTAACCTCTGAATTTAGCATGTAAGAACTTTTTTTTTCCTGAAAACAAACAAAAAAACCCCACAAAATGAACAAACAAAACCTCAAACCAAACAAAAACCGAAACAAAACCAAAAAGCCCCCAAAACAAACCATCGTTGTGCTCCAGCATTCTTGGCTACAAGAATGCTATTTCAGACAGCTAACTTTGTCAACCTGATAAGAAATTACTAATTAGTAGAAATTAAGTTTTTTCCCAAGACTTTACTGGACTGACTCTCTTCTTTCTCTGTAAAGTGTTTTCTAGAGAGTCTTGACAGTGGCAAAAAATCTGATAGACTACTCTAAAATTTAAGACAGATTTTAGTTGGGGGGCAAGGAGGTGTGATGATGCGACGACTTGATTGAAACCTTGCTTGCTGCTATGCTTTGAGGTGGCTTTAACAGCATTCTATAAATGCATTTGTTTTGAAACTTTTATAAAAAGATTGACTGATTAGGAGAAAATGCACCTCTAGAAAGGGGAAGGAGTAGGTTCAAAATAAAGTAAATGGGGTTATTTTGTCTGTAAAGAAGACTGTCTTTACGTGCTATTTAAAGTTACATCATAAGATTATTTGTTTTACAGACAGACTCTGGAGCTACAGCTGCACCATCTAAAAAGAAGAGTTTGATTGATCAGTTCTTCAGCATTGAATTTGAAACAGCGTATCCTAAAGATGAAGGCAAGACATAAAGAATGATGATAATTTCACACTTTAGCTGTTGAGCGCAGAAAGGATGAAAAGCACAATCCAGAGTAGTGCAGAAAATAAAGGTGTGTGTTGAAGGAGAAAGGTGTATTGCAGGAGTACACAGAAGTTAAAGTTAAGGTTGGATATACTTCGAGAGAAAGGATGATGTGGGGAGGAAGACTGCTAATGGAAATTTACAGAAAAATCCCACTGAATTTAAATCCAGATTGCCTGCTTCAAGGATGCTAAGACTTTTTATTCAAAGAAAAGTAATTATATTCTTTAATAGTATTTTTTTTATTGTATGGAAGTGTTGCTGACATACTTGGCATACTAAATATGGGGAAAAAATAGCTTGATTGATTTCTTAAGAAATAAGTCAGATGCACAGTGTTAGATGAGTAAGAAACTAATGCCACTGACAACTCTCTAGTAGCTTTTTGTAGTGGGATCAAACAGTGTATGACCACATGGGGCTCACATCTCATGCCAAGTATTACTCTTTTCCCGCTTTGCCACTCCAAAATCCTGCCTGTCATTAAAGTGACCACCACTTTGAGAGAGAAGTATACTGTGCCTTTTGCTCATCTGAGTTAAGGCAACATTGCCTTAGGTGGAGTACTGTGTCTTATACATAGCTTGGTAGCAGTGGAGAGTAAAGGCCTTTTTTAAGCATCTCTCTCCCTGTGTTGTGATGTTTGTTAGCCTTGGAACAGTTGGGAGGAGCAGAATGATATAGAAAATAATGAAGAAATGGAATTCATCTCAGTGAAGAGGACACATAGAAGGCAGGGAAAGGAGGCTGTGCGTGTTGAAAGAAACGGGAAGTCTGGCCAGCAGCAG